AATCTTGTTCTCAACTGTCTCTTCACCATTAACTTTGCAGGAGTACATCCTGTCACACTATGTGGAGTGGTTCTGTATCTGATTAAGAAATTTGCTAGTCTGTGTTTCATTGATTTTCCTACAGTTCCTTGAATTACCTGCTTGGAAAGTGCTTCCTTTACAATTCTAACTGATCTCTCAGCTGCACCATTTGAGGCAGGATGATAGGGTGGGGTCAGTACATGCTTTACACCGCTGTGTCTCATGAAGTTTTTGAACTCTGATGATTGGAATGGAGGACCATTGTCAGGTTACTACCTCTTCTGGTATTCCATGTTCAGCAAATATTAATCTTAATTCATTAATGGTGCTGCCAGCATTAGTACTGTACATGTACTTAACATCAATCCACTTTGAATGACTATCAATTAATACAAAAAATTTGTCTATTCCCTTATCACAGAAGTCAATGTGTACTCTTTGGAAGGGACGGGTAGGCCATTTCTAGGTTTTCAAAGGTGTGCTGGGTGGCATACTCCTAACATTCTGACAAACAGAGCACTCGCGTACCATCATTTCTATGTCGCCATCCAGTTTATGCCACCACACAAAACTTCTGACCAGTGCTTTCATAGCACATATACCTGGGTGTTCAAAATGCAGTTCATTCAAAATTTGCCCTCTAAAACACTGTAGAATTAACACACTCATACCCCACAACACACATACCTGTTTTACTGATAATTGACATCTCCTTAAATGATACGGTTGAAAGTCTAAGGATGGACAAATCTCTGGCCATCCATTTAGTGTATACTCCAGGACTCTTCCTAATACAACATCTTTCCTAGTTTCATGAGCAATCATTCCGGAGGTGACTGGAAAATCTTCTGCTAACATGGTTACAGCATAAACCTTAGGCTCTACTCCATCATTTGATCCACTACACGGCAACCGTGACAAAGCATCTGCATTGGAATGATCATCTGAACGTCTGTACTGTATCTCTTAGTCATATGCCGACAATATCACAGCCCATCTCTGCATTCTTGCTGCAGCATGTGTAGGAACAGGTGATTTAGGACCCAAAATTGCCAAGAGAGGCTTGTGATCAGTTATTAAGACAAAATTCCTCCCATATAGATACTGGTGAAATTTCTTTATTCCAAATATGATAGACAAAGCCTCTTTCTCTATTTGTGCATAATTTTTCTCGCTTTGGGTAAGAGTTCTCGAGGCATATGCAATGGGTCTTTCTTCACCGTTATCCATTACGTGACTTATGACAGCACCTAATCCATAGCCCAATGCATCACAAGCAAGCTTTAATGTTCTACTTGTATCATAGTGGACCAAAACATCAGTACTAGACAGAGCAGCTTTACAATATTCAAATGACTTCTGAGTTGCACTGTTCCATTTCCATGGTATCGCTTTCTTTAATAGTTCATACAGAGGGGCTAAAACTGATGAAAGTCCACTCAAGAACCTTGAATAATACTGTATCATACCTAGGAAAGCTTTCAATTCACTGACATTTTTTTGGAGCAGGTAAATTTACTATGGCTCCTACTTTATCTTCTACAGGTCTGAGCCCTTCTGCATTCACTTTGTAGCCAAGATAAGTTACTTCTTTAGCTAGGAATGAACATTTGCTCTTGTTGAGCCTGACATTGTGTGCCAACAATCTTTCAAATACTGTGTCTAGGGTTTTCACATGATTTTGGATGTCACTGTCAACAATAAGGACATCATCCTGAAAACATAACACATTGGGAAGACCCACAAGAATTTTGTCCATGATGCACTGAAATAACTTTGGTGCACTTTTAACTCCATAAGGCAACCTTTTGATCTTATACAATCCTTTATAAGTGTTGATGGTAAGGTACTGTTAACTCAGCATCAACAGAGACCTGAGCATATGCTTGGGACAAGTCTAACTTAGTGAAAATGGTTCCACTTGTTAGTGCAGCAAACAAATCTTGAGATGTGGGTAAGGGATATTGCTCATCCTCAACAGCTTGATTAATGGTAACATAATAATCACCACATAGTCTAACAGATTTATCAGCTTTAGGTACAATTACTATTGGAGCAGCCCAATTGCTCTTGGCAGTTTTCACAATAATTCCTTCACTCACAAGTCTGTCTAATTCCTTCTCAACCTCACCTTTCAATGCATAAGGAACAGGTCTGGACTTAGCATATATGGGTGTAACATCTTTGTCAATGGTGATATGAGCTTCATAACCCTTTATACCATCCTGTCCCTTTACAAATAAAATCTTGTATTTTTCAAGCAATTTCTCAAGACCTGAAATACTGTTACACATTCTAACACTAAATATCTCCTTCCAGTCCATCTCAAGTTCACACAACCAGTTCTTACCTAACAAAGTTGGTCTATTCACATAACTAGCTATAATTAATGGCAACTTTAAATTCTGATTTTTGTACTTTACCTCACACTCTAATTTACCTTCTGTATTCAAAATCTCTCCAGTATAAGTTCTCAACTTGACACCTGAGTCTTCTAAAGGCACATGCACAAATAGTTTCTCATATATATCTTTACTCATTATGGAGAAATCAGCTGCAGTATCCATTTTCATGGTTACAGGTGTGTCATTAATACACAAGCCCACATTATACCTATGTTTAACTTTCTCTTCACGACTGGTGTAAATAGTAAACACATGGGCACTCTCACCATTATCAGATCCAAAATTACTAACACTCTCATGAATACTGTTTTTCATTTCCTTCTCTCCACCTTCAACGGCATATACTCTACCTTTATCACTTCTACAGGCAGGAGCAATATGTCCAACACGTTGACAATTGGAACATTTCGAATTCTTGAACTTACACTGAAAGCTTTCATGTTTCCCTCGGCACCTCTTACATTTTAAATCAGCATGTGTTCCTTGTTTTGTGGTATACTTATTCCTTTTAGCTACAGTTACTTTACACACTGAGCCACTACTGCCAACTGTTTCACTATCAGCATTGGGAACAAATTCTCTGGTGTTTTTCTCGGCCAATTCCATGCTTGTAGCTATCTGACATGCATTTTCAAAAGTTAAGTTAGTGTTGTTCATTAACTTATTCTGTATTTTTTCATAATTCAGGCCTATTACAAACCTGTCTCTTAGAGCTCGGTTCAAGAACTGTCCAAAGTTACAGTGAATGGATAACTTCTTCAAAGCTACTATATAATTACTTACTGAATCACCTTTACCTCTATCTCTGGTGCCAAATCTGTAACTTTCAGCGATCTCAAGTGGAGCAGGATCAAAATGTTGCTCCAGAATCTTGGTAATCTGAATCAGTGAGGAGTCCTTGGGTTTGTCTGGAGTAAGCAGATTGACCAGAGTAGAATAAACATTAGCTCCTACCTCTGTCAAAAAGATTGCCTTCCTTTTCTCTTCAAGGGCCTTTCTCTTCTGAGCATCACCACCGTCGTCCATTAATTCATTTGCCAGAAAGAAGAAGTCCATTCTCTCACAATATGATGTGAAATCTTCCTTGTCTGCATCATACTACCCCAATCGTCCGATGTATCCACTGAAGCCAGCCATGGTTGCTCTCTTCACTTAAATTCTCCAGGTTCAGATTAGCCTTCCCTTCAGTGGTCACTATCCTCTCTTCAAGGACTTCACCAACACTTTGTGAATCCCATCCTCGTCGCCAGTGTAGTATCTTGCGTTATTTTATGGGAGAATGACAAGTCACATGGTCGGTCTGGCTGGGGCGTTTATTCTCCTGTTGTTGGTTACCGTGCCTAACACAATTCGTGTTTACACAAGCCTAAACACTTTCTGACTTTGGTAAGAAGTAACATAATATAAAATGTATATATAATCAATAAAGGCAGCATATAAATATACATATATATAACACGCGGGTGAAGTATAATTTGTTTTCTATTGAAGATATTTGTTTTAACTCATAAAATTCATACAAATTACCCGGCCAGAATATAATTTACATTGCTGGAATTCTTATAAGATTGTGAGTATTTTAAATATAAACATCATGGATTTTGCATGAGACATACAAATTTTAGATCTAATGTAAGAATTTTGATTACAAAGAACCAAAATACTGTATTATCTTTTGTGCAAAATATATGAAGTTTATATTCAAAATATTCCTGGTCTTGCAAGGAATCCAGCAATGTCAATTATATTATCCTAACTTTAGTCTGAGGTATTATTTATTACTTTACCTTAAAATCTAGTGTTTTCACCCAAACATTTCTCAGAGAAGGAGGAGCCAGCGAGCTGGGAAGGGGGGGGGGGGAGTTGAGTCCATTATTTGAATGGACATTAACCTGACGACTGAATTTCTCTTAAATATTAATTGTGTGTGCATACCATCATAAAATTAAGATGTTATTTTTACTACAACGTAGGTATTGTGTCGGAAAAAGTGGAGTTTGGGAGTCGGCCCAGTCTCTATTTCAATTAATTCCATATGTTCTGTTATTCCATTTACGCATTTCTCATTTTACGACCTACTCCGCAATTTTAAGCATAAATTGACTGTTATTTACATGTGTTAAAGATGGCAGAGACAGTCTAGGGTAGCAAGTTCAAGTCTATACCACTCTTTGCTGGTCCATCACCACTCTCATTGTGCCTTAATATACCTTATTACACCTAATCACATCACATCAAGTTGCCCAGTACAAAAGGAACTATCACTGGGGTGTTTAGGCATGATTAAGTAACACACTAAGTCAAAAATAACAAAAAAATATCATGAAATCAGAGACACATAACGAGTGTAAACAAGAGCAAAGATGGCAGGAATGAGTCAGATGCAGTGTGCAGAGCCCTTTAGTGTCAGGAATTTGCACTATGCCAGCCCTGCCAATTGTATCTCCGGGGTATCAACGAAACTTGCAGGGTATTTCCCCTACATGTAATTGTCGGTTTTCCAAATCGGAGGTCAATGGGAAGTCGGTTATTGGGGTTCACCTGTGAAGTGAAAAAGTGAGAAAAACATCTGACCTGTCACAGGCAGTGTGGGGGCAGAAATATGCTACCCGAACATTCTCATGCATCTGCCGATGTATTCTAAGTTGTCGTAGTTGTCTGAATGTTTTGCCACATATGTCACACACTGTAAAAATATAAAAGAAAAGTTTAGTACTGCATATTTTCAGAAAATAATTCACTGTTGATCAAATCTTTGATTGAAAATTAATTTTCATAAAGTACCTCTTGACAGAAAGTTACCATTAATGGAAAGAAAATGACACTTACATACTGCCTGGCAAAACTCTATGAGTGTGTTCGTGCACCATGTTTAAATAATGATAGAGTGGGTTTAGAAATGACATTACATACACAATCACTTTTTTTTTTTTACAGGGGTTAGCCCACCCGGGCATGGGTCACTGACCCACATCGGGTCCTGGAGGGGGGGGGGAATATAATCATAATAATAATAATATTTAAAAAAAAAATCATAAATTAAAAAAAAAATAAAAAAAAATTAAAAATTAAAAATAAAATAAAATTATAATAATAATAAAGATCAAGAGTGAGAAACGATATACTGTATGTATGTTGTGTTGTTAAAGTGAGAGAAACAACTGAGACCCTGCAATTGTGTGTAAATGAGGCAGAGAGTCAGATCAACAACCTGAGACTTTCTTACAATTTTTGTGGTGCCATATGGCAGCAGGGTCTACCATTAGACAACACACTATGCTTCCAATATCTTATGCAGTACCTCCCTGTTTGATAGCTGTCTACTCCCTACTACCTGCCGAGTATTGTACAGTAGCTAAAATAAGTATCAGTGCATACTATATAAGAAACAATATGAGGCCATGTATGCTAGGTATTGGGATATGTGTGTTGTCTCTTTAAACTGTACTATGTGATAGTAATAAACAATTTATTTATTTCTATATGCCAACTCACTGTTATTTACCTGTGTTGAGGATAGTAGAGACTGTCTAGGGTGGCAAGTTCAAGTTTCTACTAATCTTTGCTGGTCCATCACCACTCTAATTATGCATTATAGCATCATATCAAGCTGCTCTCTTAGGGCCAGCACAAGAGCAACTATCACTGGGGCATTTAATGATGATTGCATAACAAATGAAGACAGAAATAACGAAAAATTCAAGTTTCTATCTACCAGTCTTTCCTGGCCCATCACCACTCTTATTACACCACATCAAGCTTCCCCTAAGAGGGGCAGGAATGAGTCAGGGGCAGCATACAGAGCCCTCTCATGGCAAGAATTTGCACCATGCCACTGCCCACCAAATTCAAAATAGTCCAACGCTCCTCCCCCAATCATCGGATCAATGGGGGTATCAACAAAACTTTTGGGGTATTTTCTGTATATGTAATCATTGGTTATGTAAATTGGCAGTTACTGAGTCATTGGTTTTCATATACAGTCAACCCTCACTTTACGCGGTCCCACATTCCGCGTTTCCACGTTTACGCGGTGCCCTGCCAGAACCCAGGATGCTCACATTCCGCGGTGGGTATACCCCTTTACGCGGGTGAAGTATAATTTTTTTATTTAGCTCATAAAACTCATACAAATTATCCAGCCAGAATATAATTTACATTGCTGGAATTCTTACAATTTGATGATCATTTTGAATATAAACATCATAGATTTTGCATTAGACATACAAATTTTAGATATAATGTTTACTCTGAGTAAATATGTTATCTTTTGTGCAAAATATATGACATTTATATTCAAAATATTCCTGGTCTTACAAGGAATCCAGCAATGTCAATTATATTATCCTAACTTTAGTCTGATTTATTATTTATTACTAAAAAGGTAAACAGTCTGGTATTCCCACACATTTATCTGGTAGGGACGGTTGGTGGGGGGTGGGGGGGAGGGAGGGACCGGCGACCGACCACCTGGCATGTGTGAAGAATATTTTTTTTTTTATTAACTGAAGATTTTTATTTTAGCTCATAAAATTCATACAAATTACCCGGCCAGAATATAATTTACATTGCTGGAATTCTTACAATTTGATGATCATTTTGAATATAAACATCATATATTTTGCATTAGACATAAAATTTTTAGATATAATGTTTACTCTGAGTAAATATGTTATCTTTTGTGCAAAATATATGACATTTATATTCAAAATATTCCTGGTTTTACAAGGAATCCAGCAATGTCAATTATATTATCCTAACTTTAATCTGAGGTATTATTTAATACTAAATGTTAAAATCTAGTTTTTTCACCCACCCTTTCTCTTGAAGGGAGGGTTGGTGGGAGGTGGGGGGGAGGGTTGGGATGGACTGACCATCTGGTTCGGTTGGAAGAGGGGGGGAGGCAAGGTGGGGTACTTTGATTGACCGACAGTGTCGTGAAGAATATTTTTTTTTATTAACTGAAGATATTTGTTTTAGCTCATAAAATTCATACAAATTACCCGGCCAGAATATAATTTACATTGCTGGAATTCTTACAATTTGATGATCATTTTGAATATAAACATCATAGATTTTGCATTAGAAATACAAATTTTAGATGTAATGTTTACTCTGAGTAAATATGTTATCTTTTGTGAAAAATATATGACATTTATATTCAAAATATTCCTGGTCTTAAAAGGAATCCAGCAATGTCAATTATATTATCCTAACTTTAGTTTGAGGTCTTATTTATTACTATACCTGGTTTTCCCCCCAAAATTTCTCAGAGGGAAGAGCCAGCGAGTGGAGTGTGGGAAGAGGGGGAGGGAGTGGAGTCCATTATTTGAATGGACATTAACATGGCGACTGTATTTCTCTTAAGTATTAATTGTGTGCATGTACCATCATAAAATTAAGATGATATTTTTACTAGAACATAGGTATTGTGTTGGAAAAAGTGGAGTTTGGGGGTCAGCTGGTCTCTATTTCATTTAATCCCCTATGTTATGTTATTCACTTTACGCGTTTCTCACTTTCCGCGGTACCCTGTGGGTTACATTAACTGCGTAAAGTGAGGGTTGACTGTGTATATATATATATATATATATATATATATATATATATATATATATATATATATATATATATATATATATATATATATATATATATATATATATATATATATCTTGATAAAATCACACGGGAAGATGGAAACAACGGAGTACCTTAGCTTTCGTCATTATTCAAGACATCTTCAGAGGCAACTGGATTACATGGACAGAGAGAGGCTTAAATATACAGGGTGACCTAAAAACATGAGGTCAGGTCAAAATGATGACATCCACTAATCCCCACACCAACACACACGTAGAGGAGCTTAAGAGAAGGGAGGTGACGTGACTAGCCAAGTCAGGTCAGAAAAAAGGGACCCACAAAATAACTATCATACATCTAGATCAAAGGTTTTCAAAGCATTTTTAACCTTGGGCCACTGACAAATAAATTTATGTAACATATTATCATTACTCCGTTGTTTCCATCTTCCCGTGTGATTTTATCAAGATTTATCTTATCCACGTTGTCATACATGATATATATATATATATATATATATATATATATATATATATATATATATATATATATATATATATATATATATATATATATATATATATATATATATATATATATATATATATATATATATATATATATATATATGCTGATAACCACAAGGAAAGAAGAAACAGGTTCCTAATATATATATATATATATATATATATATATTTATATATATATATATATATATATATATATATATATATATATATATATATATATATATATATATATATATATATATATATATATATATATATATATATATATATATATATATATATATATATATATATATACATACAGTAGAGTCTGGGTTTACGTGGATATTTTATACGCGTTTGGTCATTTATGCGGCACCTGTCCAGAAGCGCAATTATAAGTTACGCGGTACATTCCTTAATTTACACGGCAAGCGGCTGGTCGCTGACGTCACCGCTGACATCACACTCATGGCGATGACGTCGCGGACTGTGATTGGGCCACGTATCCTTACCACCCACGCACCCCCTCCACCGCGCGCTGTGATTGGTCTATTTAACCTTGCTTGCCCTGCCACCAGGGGCGATGACCCAAGTCGCGTCAGTCTCATTGACTTCCGTCTCCACGTAAACTCACTTGTGCCCAGGAACCTGTTTTGTTCTTTTGTTTCTCTACAATGGCGACCGCTGAACCCCCACCACCCCTGAGAAAACCTTGAACTACCTGGCCCAAGCCGCCCCAAGCCCAAGAAGGTGCGACGCGCCTTAAGCTATGAAGTTAAGTACAAGATCGTTCAGGAGTTAGAAAAAGGCACGAGGCAGGTGGATCTGGCCAGACAATATGAAGCAAATGAATCGATGAACCGCACAATCAAGAAGGATGCCAGCAAGATTAAAGAACACATGAGCATTACAAAGTCTGTAGGTGCCTCGATGGTGAAATATTGCCACAATAAGGTGTTGCTCAAGACTGAGGGTTTATTAGTCAGCTACTTGATTCGTCAGTCAAAAAGGAACATGGCGGTCGACACTCGGGTAGTGCAGGACTACGCGAGAGAACTCTACCAATCAGTGGCTAGAAAAATGGGAGTTGCAGAGCCCAAACCCTTCAATGCTTCCGCTGAGTGGCTGCAAGGTTTCAAACGACGTAATAAGATCACGAATATTGAGATAGTCGGTGAAGGAGCAAGTGCCGACCGGGCTGCCGCCATGAATTTTCCCCCATTTTTACGAGAAATTGTGGAGGAAGGACAGTACACCGACGACCAAGTGTTCAATATGGATGAATCAGGGTTGTTTTGGGAAAAATTGCCATCCAAGACCTTCGTAGTCAAGTCTGCGAGCAAGTCGGTGCCGAAAAATACAGAAGTAGCGCATCACCGTCCTGTTCACCACCGATGCCTCCGGCACATATAAGCTGAAGTTGTTGGTGATCCATAAAGCCCGCAAGCCGCATGCATACAAGAATATGGACATGAGCAAGTTAAATGTCCACTGGCTAACCTCAGGGAAGGCGTGGATGTTCACTGGTCTGTCCCTCTCCTGGTTTGACAACTGTTTCGTTCCTGATGTAAAGAAATTCTGCGAGCAAAAT